GCGGGAGGGGGGTTTTGCCAGGAAAGGGTGGGGGAAACAGCGGCGGTAATGTGTGGATTTTTGCTTTCTCGCATGCCGGCTCCTTTGGCCATTGATGATGCATAGGGAAATGTCTAGTTCTTTTTTGTCCCTATGTGTTTTGTGCCTGGGGCTCTTCAGTGTTTCCTTCCTCTTCAGAAATGTTTGAGGATTTTGAGTTTGAGGACTTTAATCCTGCGAAAAGGATTAAAAGCGAAGAACAGGTGACAGATGATCTTCAAATACGCCCTCAGGCCAGGTTTGCAGCGCAGCTTGTTGAGGTGTACTACCTGAGGAGCTCTAGATTAAAATGCGAACAGAGCCGAAAGGAAGGAAATGAGATGTACAGCCTCGATGATATGGTGCAATCTTTGGCACAACAAGTGGGAGCCACTGTGCATCATTTTCAATTGATTGACAAACGATGTGTTCCAGCTTCATTCGCACGTTCCAATGTTCCTCTTGAACCTCCTAGGCGTCCATTTTTAGCATCTGTCTTGGCAGTGTTGGTACAAGCCTTTGTGTTTGAGAGTGGTGGTGCATATATATCGTTGTCTACTTTTGATGAGTGGTTTAGCAGTGTGAGTGGTGTTGATGGAGCTCCTATCTCAAGGTGCTGGGTGGAGGCGAAGATGCATGTGGCTAAGTGTCTTGCAAGCAAAAACAAAGTTGCTGTGTTTGGACAAGAAATTATATGGCGACACTTCAGTAGGCTTCAAGGGATTCACTGCCTCCGTGATAGGGTTTTGTGGATGATTCGAGCAAGTGTCGACAACAGGATTCAACGTCTGCAGGAGGGCGGCGGTATACATTTTGCTCCATTACTTAATGAAGAGCGTCGAATGGAGTGGCGTTCGGATTTCACTTCACCCAAAGAGTGTTTTCTGTGGCCCATATGGAGTAAAGCTTTTCTTTGCTTGTGTGTGTCCAACTCCCCTTCACTTGAGGAGAAGCTGATGTTGGCAGAGAAATTGTTCATTCAGGGTGTTGAGAATTGCGTCACGCTCATTTCACAAATTACTCAAATACTCAACGGAGAGACAATCGACGAGAAATACTCATCACAGTTGCTTGATTTCAATGTTTTTTGTAGTGGAACATCTGGAGAATTTGCGGCCGTTTGTTTATTTTCGGCGTTGAAATGCTCACTCAATGCGTACTTTTCAGGTGAACCTACAACTAAATTTGGTGTTGAGCTAGCTACCAATGTCATGTCGAAGCTCTTCTGTCAGCTTATTGAGTATTATCTTTTTGCTTCACCCTCGCCTCGTCATTATCATTTTTTGGACGCATGTCAAAGTTTATGGCGAGAGTCTGGTGCCACACATCAAGCAATGGTTTTTGCTCAGCCGTTTACTCCACGACGTCAGGAAAGAACCTCCTTTGTTTTTCAAGAGAATGCCTTTAAGAGAACCAATACAGAAGTATTTTCCTCATATGAGGCAGATGTATGCTCTGTAACTCCGTTGTTTTCTGCGTGTGTTCTAAACGGTTTTCGTTCAAGGGAAAAGCTTGAAAAATTAGTGAGCTGCATTAGATTTCAACATCAAAAGTTGGGTATGCTTTGTAGTGAAGCTAGTGATGATCACCTACTGCCTCCAGCAGGTGCTATCAAGCTTTCTGATTCTTTAAAACCTGTTACAGATACGGAGTCTCTTATAGAAGGAATGATTTGTACATCTTGGTGCATACTTGAATTGCCTGCGGAATCTCCAGGTGAGAACGCCCTCATTGAAAGCTTTTTGAGAAGTGAGGCTGATTCTCTTATCAAAAAGGGAATTGATAAGGCGGCGGCGGTGTCAAACAGTGAATCTGGAAGTCAATACACTTCCTTTGCTTTTTGAGCATAAGTGTTGGATTGTCTGTTTTTTTTATGAGGTAGTGTTTTTTTTTCTTTACAGAAGGTTTATCGTGTAAAAAAAAACTTTTTATTTGTGATTCTCTAAACCTCCCTCCTTGGTGTGCGAAATGAGTGTGAAATTCTTTACTGGTCTTTCTGCGGCTAAATTCCCTCCGCCCCATTTCCCTTTCTTAATATACACCCCAAAGCAATAAAACACAAACGGATGCGGGCCTATAGACACCTCTTGTTTCAGAAAACCCACCTGAAGCGGGTAGTGAAACAAGGCTCACTTCCAACTAGCGATCCCGCGTCTGTTCAGGGGTTTTACTCTTCCCTGCAGTATGAGGGGTTTGACACGGTGGATGTTCCGGACATGGAAACAGCATTGCTCCCTTTTCAAAAAGAGGGTGTTCATTGGATGATGCTGCGTGAGCGCGACCACGTGGGGGGAATCATGGCAGATCACCTTGGAATGGGGAAGACGGTTCAGATGATTGGCTTGTGTCTTTCATCACATTACTTTAACAAAGCAATACGTAAAACACAGTTTGAGAAGATGCAATCAAAGGCTGCTGGATATCGTTTGCTTACTGTTATACGGCAGCTGCAACGCATCAGTGTCGTTGCGAATTGTTCAAGAATTAATCGACCAGCGTTGGAGCTTCGAGTTTTGATGAACAAAGTGGAAAAAGGTGTAATTGAACGTGACGGAAATATAAAAGAAGTGCGATGCGAAGTTGATAAATGGCTCAAATTCACAAGTAAATTTCATCCTATATATGAAAAACGTGCATTGGCTTTCCTGGATGATGAACAAAAGCGCTCTTTTGATCAGATTGAGTCGAAAGAGCTCCGAACTCTTGTGGTCGTCCCTGCAGCCCTTATGTTGCAGTGGAAGAATGAGATTGAATCTAAAGTAAAGTCTTCACGAGGGTTGAAGGTTTATCTATACCACGGACAAAGCAAGTTTATTAGCAGTACAGAGTTGGAGTTGTATGACTTTGTGGTCACAACATACGATACATTAACAAACTCGGCTCTTGACGCTCTGGTACCCACGTTCAACGACAATAACTTGTCCTTTAACAGAAAGGAAGCGGGACCTTTGTTTCACGTTCGCTGGAAGCGTATCATCCTGGATGAAGCACACATGATTCGTCATTCTAGGACACATAGGTGGCGGGCAGTCAAGGAGTTGCAGGGTCTTCACAGATGGGCTGTCACAGCTACACCTCTTCACAATACAATTGAGGACATTCAGAACCTTCTTCATTTTGTTGGTCTTCCACGCCTTCCTGTGCTTCCTGGATGCAATCCAGAGGAGGTCTTGAATGACCCGGTGCTCCAGCGAGGCATAGCACATTCACTTCAGCCAGCGTTTCTTCGCCGTGGTCCCATCATGATTCGGAGTGGAAAAAGAGAGGTTTTGGTGGAGCTTCCTCCTAAAAGTGAGGTTGTGGTTATGAAACGCTTCTCTCCCAAGGAGTCTAAACAATACAATAGCATACTTGCCCGCTCGAGGACGGCGCTGGCGACATCAGAACATAAGGAAGGGGCTTTTCACATTTTTGCTATGATGACTCGATTACGTCAAGCATGTTGCCATCCGTGGATCAGCGAAGGTCGAGCGCTTTCGGTGTCTGTCTGTGGAATTTGCAAGAGCGAGGCAGTTGCAGCTGTAACAACGAAGTGTGGACATCACTTTTGCCATGAATGCCTTTTACTCCGATTTCGTGAGGCTGTTGACGGTGACGATATGGCTGCGAGGCTACCATGCCCCATTTGTGGGACCACCATCAACAACAGTGCAATTTTTAAGAGTCATTCTCTGTCATCTTCAGAACGTATCGCAAAGTTCAAAGGACGTGAGTTGGAGATGAGTACAAAACTTCGGATGATATTGGACTGTATTGAGGCGATGACAGAAGAGCATCCGGGGGACAAAATGATCATCTTTTCACATTTTACTTCTTTTATGGACGTTATTTCTGTTGCATTGGACAGTTTGAACGTCACCCATCTTCGATTGGATGGTACTATGAGCTTATCTAATCGTAACATTGTGATTCGCCGTTTTCAATCGAGTGAAGAGATACGTGTTGTTCTTGCAAGCAAGACAGCAACTGGTGTTGGCTTGAATCTCACAGCTGCAAATCACGTGCTGGTGGTAGATCCATGGTGGAATCCTGCTATTGAAGAACAAGCAGTTCATCGTTGCTACCGTATAGGCCAGAAGAAACACGTATATGTCACGCGTATCATTATTGAGGATACTATTGAGCAGTATTGCTACGAGATTTGTCAGCGGAAGAAAGAGTTTGGTGACGCTATTCTTAGGGCAGCAACAAAAGGAGACTCTGGTGCCTCTGTTGCTGCGTCAAAACTTAGGGAATTGCTTTCTCGTCTGCAATACGTACCGGATAAAGAAAAAGAAAATGGAGGAGCCAATGCAAGTGCGGATGTGAGTGAAAGTCAATGCGGTTAACCAACGTCTTTTTTTGCTGTTATTTGGAGGCATCGTTTCACTTGGGCTATGAGTTTTCGTTGTTGCCTTGGCTTTAAATGATGTGGAACGATACAAAACGAAGCATCTTGGTTGTACAGCCTTGTTTCCCCTCTATTGTATATCCTTCTCTATTTTGCATTCTTTTTTTTTTGTTATTGCTGTTGCTGTTTTGGTATCAGCAAAGTTACCTCTTTCGTGGGAAGAGTGTCCGCTAACGTCTTACCCCTTGTCGTATGGCAGTGCCTGTGCCAGTGCAGCAATCGTCCTCACAGTACGTCTCGCCGACACTTGGGCCAACGAACCCATGGGCTCAGCAAACCTCTACCGGTACTTTCAGACCTCCTAACCCACCATCACCTGCAGCGCATCATGAAACAAGCTGGAACACCGTTTCCGAAGTGAAAACCGCACACTCTTCATCTCTCCAAGATCCGCCTTGTGTGATGCTTATGGATAGGTCTCCGTCATATTTGCATCCAGCACTGCAAAGCACCGGCCAGCCTATTGAAAAAATTATGAGTATGATTGTAAGCGCGGTTGGACAGGAACGAGACACATTTGCCACTCAAAAGGAAACCAATCGTGTTTTGGAGCAGGAACTGAGGCAGGTTCAGAAGCGCCGAGAAGAAGTGCAGCGTGCCCTGCGTGAGGTCCAGCTTTTTTCTAGCTCTTTAGAAGCACTTCAGAAAGAACAGTTGGAATTATTAGGAGAATTACGGTGTCAATGAATGACTAAGGTGTACCTTTTCTTTTTTTTTCAAGTGTCTTGAACGATTGCTCTATACAGAGAAGTTCAGTGCCTTAAAACCAAGTTAGCTATGTAATTTGCTGCATGACTAGTCATGAAAATGATATCTCTTTGTTGTTTTCTGTTCACTGACTGTTTTTTTGAATGAATTTTACACCTGTAATCTGAACCAGATAGAAAAGATGGAGGAGGCAACGCTTACCGCCATGGGCAGCACTGGAACACAAAGCTCGCTCGGCACGCTGAGGTCCCTCGCAGATGAGGTTGCCGTAAAGGACTACCTTGCGTCGCACGTTAACGACGGCTTTGCCAGCAGTGCTTACTGGGGAGCCACTGGCGAGGTGCCTCCTCGTGAACCAGATGACATTGCGGGAAAGAAACCGCATCGCTTTGAGATGGAAATTGAACGCAAGCTCGTTCCCTTCCCAGAGGATAAGACAAGTTTACCCCAAACACTAGATTACACGCTCATAGGGTTTCACCGTCTCAAGGGAGATGGCTCAGAGGGCCAACCCCAACTGAACGCTGCCCAGTTGCACGCCTTGGAGAGCGGTGAGGCTACTTTGGGTGTGGATGCTGCTGGAGGTAAGAAGCCACGCCTGATGGAAACCACAACGACACAGAACCGTACGATTGGAAAAGGTGTATTCGATCCTGATGTTCTCGATGCGTTGCGGAAAGGGAATGAGGATGTTGAGGCTTCCACAAGGGAGCGTGAGGGGTTAAAGGGTGCGCCTTTTGAGACTTTTGAACCGGATCCTTATCGGCCGTCGTCATGGGAGCATTGTGATATGAGTGGCATCGATCCATCCTCCTACCGCGTCACGGAGGTGGACCCGAATGATCCTGACGGCAAAAATAAGTTGGCGGTGTACAAGAGCCGGTACAACCTGGTGGAAAAGGAAGGACCAGTGCGACGCCATAAAACAACGAAGATGCTTGAACGGGAGCGAAACGTGGATGAAGGCCTTTTGAAAGAAACAGTGAAAGACATGAATACAAATGCATTACCCGAGGGATACCAAACGTGGTCTGCAAGCCAATGGATGAGCACGACTCACGATTGCCATGCCCCGTACGATATTCCGGGAGCTGCGGAAACAAATGGGCGTTACGCAACATTTCCGCTTCCCAGGACGTACCACACACTGACTCCGGCACACGAGGAAACCGTGTTGTCGCTATCACAAAAGCACATGATGCGGCATAATGGCAAATGGGCTACCGAATACTCAGATTCTTTCATGAATCGTTTTAACAAGGCCGAAATTAACAAGGACTACAGCAAGAAGAGTATTTTCGATATTCAACAAGGCACGTACACTATGCACCACTCTGCGCATCACCCACGCGACGATACAGCCACTGGAGAGACGTACACTCCTTCCCAGATTGTACCAGGGCAGTACAACACAATGACCCAGCAGCCACTCCATGCACGCAATGCACTGAACTGAGAGCATATTTGTCTCTATGCATCCCTTCTGTTGTGCTATTGATTGCTGGCTGTTTAGCTTTTGTTTCATTATCTGCTTGAAGGGAGACTAGGCCCGCATGTATTAGATTTGGCATGTATGCTACCACTTTCATAAAGGTGGCCACAACCCCCTTCCTCCCCCCCAAAAAACATGAAAAAAAAACATATTCTGAGAGGTGGAGACCGTTAACTCTTCTCTTGTACTTGATATCTTGTTTTTTTCTGTGTTCTTGTTTTTTTTCCCCCCAAAGCAATGAATCGCACATGGTGAGCAGTTTGCTGTGTTCGTGAAGATGGTGGTCCGCATTGGATATTTAAAAAATGCTATCGCAAATTTCCCCCTGCGCTGCAGTGGCGAAGCGCATGTCGTCTCCCCGCCCCCTTGTCAGGTGAGTTGAAGGGGGGGGNGGGGGGGGGGGGGTAGGGCACTGTCAGTTACGCCCGATGCAGCCGCCGCCAATGGAATATGAGAATTCCGGCATCTTCTACCTGGCCTCCAGTCGAGTTGTATGCTTCTGCCTTCTTGGTGAGTCTGTTGGAGAGGCTCTATGGTTTATTGGAGGGGCAGCAGAGCCCCATCACACAGCGTTGCGAACCCTCGTGATGCGGACTACCCCCAAAGGTGGCATCACCATCAATTTTATAAACGTATGCGAGGGTCTTTTTTTGTGTCCCTCTGACGTTCTTGCTGGTTCCCAAAAGTTTACGGTGAAACCCCGCCGTTATGCTCGGGTTCAACTTAATACAGCCATCTCTTTGTGTACTTGTGCCAAGGCAATATGATTCTTTTATTAATTGTTTCTGTTTTACTAATCATTCAATAGCTCTATAGTTAGTTCAGGCTCTGTAGTTATGCTGCGCCTTAATACATTCTTGCTGCGCAAGACAATTCAGGCCTATCCTGTTCCACCAAAGATTCGCCACTTCAACCGTCGCTGGAGTGGCTCCCGAACAAACTCATATAACCGTCAGTATTGGCGTGTAGTGATGAATGAAAACCATGCACGCCCATCTTTCTGGGTCTCTGACTTCCGTCACCGTTATCTCATGCGAACAGGAACTGACTACCAGGGGCAAGTGCCAGCCACCCCACAGCCTGGTCTTTACCAGGGTTTTAGAGATGTCCACAAGCTGCTTGCGAACCATCCAAAGCCTCAGAGGGAGTCACGTCATTTACCCGTTTTGCCAATGACCCCACGTGTCGTCTTTGAACACACCAATGAGAAAAGAATTGATACATCTAAAAAAATGCGTAGAGACAGACGGAGGGTGGAGGAGCTCAAAACAGTAGAATTTTGGGGGTGGTATATGAAGCTGCAGCGTGTTCGTGGGCGATGGTGCCGGGAACAGGGAGTCTCTAGTCGTGGTGTCTACGGTCCCGCCGTGGATGCGGCTGAGTTATGGGGCTAATTCTCACAATGCTCTCTGCGACTAGTGAATGTGAAGTAGTAGTGGTTTGTATTTACTACAAATACAGAGTACGCAGTTGCATTTGTTTCTTTTTGTTTTCCTTCTCTTCGCGTTATCTTTTCTGCTTGTCATTCTTTTTGACTGTGTTGGCTTTTGTAGTTCCACATAGAGTGAGCAAGCCCCTCCTTTCCAGATGGCGAAGAAGGGGTCGCTCAAGAAACGCTCCAAGCGGGAGGAGGAGGAGGTTGTCGAGGACCTTGATCTAGACGTGGAAGATTACGCCGTAGAGGACGAAGATGTCGTCCACAACCGCCGCAGCAAGGCACAAGGGAAGGAACGTGAAGAGCTGGCGGCTGTGCTGCCATCGGATGCCCACAAGCTGGAGGGATACGATGACGATGATGACGAACGGGGAGCCCATCTAGAAGAGGAGGCCCTCGCTTTGGAGGTAAACAAGAGCATGCGGCGGAAGGTAATCGAGTCGGACTTTGATGTTGGCGGCATCACGGCTGGCGCCAAGCGGAAGCGGAGCAGTGAGACAAGCAAGACACTCAACGTTGCACCTGTTATTGAGGCTGTGGAGCGTGACTACGCTGCCCTCTCGTCCTCGGAACGCATAGCCATCGTGCAGAAGGAGTCTCCAGAGATGATCAAGATGCTGGAGGAGATGAGGCAGTACCTTGCCGAGGTGAAGGAATTAGCCAAGCCTCTCCAGGAGTTACTCTTCCAACGTCGCTTGTCCGACGCGGACCGCAGCCTCGTCCAGTTCCTAGAAACGAAAGTGCAGTTAATGCTCAGCTACTGCATGCACGTCACATTCTACTTGCTCCTTAAGACTGAGGGCAAGAAGGTGGCGGGGCACCCAGTCATTGACAACTTGGTGGAGATACGCGTGTATCTTGAAAAGCTGTTCCCGCTGGAGGAGAAGCTGCATTACTCGCTTAATCGTCTCCTCAGTGGCAAGACCACAGCCGCGGCTCACCTTGACTCTCTGCGCCCGCTCCAGCACAACGAGCGCGGGTCACTCGCAGCGAATACAGAGGGCAAGAAGAATCGCAAGCAACTGGAGGCGATAAAGAAGGCCGATGAGATTGAGAAGGAAGAGTTGGCCACCATGAATCGCATACGGGCCAAGAAGTCAGACATCACCAACGAAGCCTCCTCTTTTGATCGCAAGACAGCAGTATCGGCGCTGGGATACCACGAGGATGAGGATCAGTACTTTGCGAAATTGACAGCCGGCGATGATGAAGAGGAGGAGCAGGGTCTATCGCTCATTGAGCGGCTGCGGAAGCGCCAGCGTGCGCTCACCGACACCACCAACATCAACAATAATGACTTTGATGAGGACGATGACACCGGCGTTGTGGACGATGATGATGATGATTTTGATGATGATGATGATGATGGCGCTGAGGACGACCTCCTCAGCGAAGGCGAGGATGAAGACGAGGGCAACTACGAGACACTGCTGGAGGAAGAGCATGAGCGTGAGCTCCAGCAGGCGGCCGATCAGTCACGGCCGAGGCCCAAGTTGGTGGAGCCAGTGGTGGAGAGGCGCAAGACGAGCAAGAAGATCGAAACGCATCGCGGTCTCACCAAGTCTCGCCCGAAGGACCGCAAGACGCCACGCACTGCGCAGCGTCGCAAGTACGAGAAGGGCATGCGTATACACAAGGCCCAGACACGCACTGTCCAGCCTGAGCCAGAGGGGGGCTTTATTGGTGTATCGTCCATCAAGTCTGGGGTTACGCAGAGTGTTCGGTTTTAGGGATGAAAACGCGCAGGCAAGGACTGCCTTTCTGTTCTGTCCTTCATGTGTTTTCCATTCGGTGAAGGGCTAACGGATGATATAAATGAGAGAAGCACGGTAAAGGGGAAAAAAATGTTTAAGAAAAAAAAAGCTGATTAAACGAACACGTTTCAACAAACATTTATTGAAAGATTGGAGTTTCTGACCATAATCTCGGCTATACATACTCTCTCTACCCTTCAACGCCAAATGTACCCGGGGTCTTCTTTTTATTTTGTTGATTCTCTGATGGTGTCTGAAAAGAGATAGGATTATCGTCGTTCTTCAGGAAGGTAGATTGGGGCGTTAATGGAAAAGGTGAAAGACCTACTGGCTCGTGAACGGGAGGAGATCAACCTTCTGCGCGAGCCGTTGCGCACTCTTCGTCTCTTCTTTCTGACGTGCGTGAAGTCCGTCGCTCGATTCGTGTCAAGACATATGCGACCAACAACACTTCTTGTTGCTGTTCCTCTCATATTCTTTACGATTGGAGTCTCACTGTTTTGGATCGATTCCCCTTCAGGTCACGCCTTCCATGCACTTGACACCGATGGTGACGGTCTCGTCTCACCAGCTGACTTTGAGACGTACTACACTCGGGTTATGCACCATAAAGCTGGCGCCGGTGAGCAGGCGTCCGCCGCCTTTCCAGAAGACACCACACGCTTGAACAAGGCGCAATTTGTGGCGTGGTGGGAAGAAGGACAGGGTGATACACTTCGACGTGATGCATATTTTAGGCAGGGGACGTGGCGAGAAGTGGAGTACCTGCTTGCGGATGCGGTGTGGTGGCTGGTGCTCGGTATTCTCTCTTCCATTGGATTGGGCACTGGAATGCACTCGGGGCTGCTATTTTTGTTTCCTCACATTTACCTGGCCTGCGCTTCCGCGGACTCCTGCGGCAACTCCAACTACTGGACATACCCAGTGAACCCCTTCTACGGCCCGCGCGATCGCACATTTCTCTGCATCACCCCTACACTGGCAATGGAGGCTCCATCCACCATTGCTCGCTTGCTAAAGGTAATTCCCGCCTGCGTTCTATGGGGGGCAGGGACCGCCATTGGGGAAATTCCGCCATATGCCTTGAGTTACGCTGCCGCACTCCAAGGTCAACGGCATGCGGAGTTGAAGGAAGACTCAAAGTACGATGTTCTGAATCGCATGAAGAACTGGACGCTAAACAAGATCCAGCTTTATGGTTTTTGGGCAATCCTTCTTCTTGCCGCATGGCCTAACATGGCCTTTGACCTTTGTGGCATGGCTTGTGGGCAGTTCCTCATGCCTTTCTGGTCCTTCTTCGGTGCCACCTTCATCGGTAAGGCACTGATAAAGGTCAACATGCAAGCAGTCTTTTTTGTGTTTCTATTCTCCGGAGATAATATTGAACGTATGATCCGCCGTACTGGTGAAACAGTGGCTAGTTTTGTGATTCTTCCCACTTGGGCGGCGCCGCAGGGGACCAAAGGACTGGTGAACAAATTTGTTAACGCCATAGTAAATGCGCGTGAGAGCATTGCTGCGAGAGCGCGGGGCGCTGTGCAAGGTGATACGGAGAATTCGGGGTCGTTTCTCATGGTGACCATGCACTGGTGCGTTGTGGCTGCGGTGGCTTGGTTCGCAAAGTCTATTGTGGAGTCGCTCGCTCAAAATGAACAAGAGGAGAACGACAGACTCACAATTGAACGTGTAGAGAAAATGATTTCGCATCGTCGCACGAAGAGTGCAGTACGGGAAGAAGAACTACGCAATCTCATTGAGCTTGCACGGGCCGGTGAAAAGGAAGCAGCTTCTCATTCGTCATTTGACTCGGCTGTCATGACACTGTTTGCCTTGGCCGCTCTCGCTGGCGTTGCGTTGGCATCCTACCCCTTATTTGCGCTCAGCCTATCAATTCTTGTGCACACGTTGCTGTGTACGCAGTGTACGAACGATTCACTAAATCGATGGACGCTGTGGGGGTTGCGCATGGCGCTTTTATCTGGAGCCCTCTACGCTCTGCACACCCAGCACACGGCGTAGAGGCGTGATTGTGTCGGTGTGTGTGTGTGTGCATTTGTGCGGAGTAGAATGCATACACGAACAAGGGAAAAAACGGAAAAAAATATTCGGGTGATAGGGCAATATACTTGTTTAATAAGAGTAGTGTATGTGCGCTTCCTTGCGAATGTATGCGTGTATGTGGCTCCTCCTCTGCGCTCTTAGAGATTTGCATCGGGAACTGTGAAGCAGCTGCTTTTATCCCTGCCTTTTTTTCATTGTTGGTAAGTTTCGAGGTGTGGTGGCTGCGATGTCTCTTTAATAGGCTTTGCTGCAGAGAGTAAAGGTGCAGCTGTCATGGTGTGTGTTTGTGTGTGTGCCTGTGTGTGTGTGTCTGTAGAGTGGGCAGAGAAAGAGATTTCCTGCTACGCTGCGCGCATCGTCACTTCTTTGGTCCTCTGTGACTCTTTTGAAGGGGACCGTTGCAAAGTGGGAAAAAAACGTGCCACGTGTGAGACACCGCTCTTGATGGATATCCAGGCACTGCTGCAGCGCGAGGCATCCACAAGGGGATTTACTTTGGGGACGCTGTGCCAGGTCAGTGCGCTGCCCTCGTCGCAAAAGGTGGCCTGCTGCGGCGGCATAGTGGAGAAGGTCGTGGTGGAGTCTGCGCAGGACTGCACTGTCTTGCTGCGGGACGCAACAGGGACGGTACACTGCGCCATCCACGGTGCGGTGTCGAGCCGTTACCCGGATGTGCTGGCGGTGGGGGCACTCGTTCTTCTCTGTGATGTCACAGTGCTGGTGACGTCTGCCTTGATGCCGCCGGTGCTTATCGTCTGCCTCGAGCACCTCGCCGCCCTCCTGTTGCCAGAGGGACCGTCCGACAACGCGAGAAGTCTCGATGTGGGCGATGCATCGTCGTCGTCGCCGCTTGCAGATGTGCTGATGCACAGTGGCGGAGGCGGCGGCCGTGTGCCGGGTGCACCCAAAGCTGTCCTTCACGGGACTGTTGACGAAGGTGCAGGCGAAGTGTGCCTTGGGGCGGCGGCTGTAGCCGAATTGTCTGCTACACCTACAGATTTAAGGAACCCCGTGGAAATTTATGACGATGAGGATTGTTTACAGTTAGCAGACGATCTGTAGCAGGATAGAGAGCGTCTTCACACGTGTACTTACACAACTGCAGGTCCGTTCAGAACCACACAGAGTTTCGGCCCAATGCGTTTTTATCAGGTCCTTACAGAGTGAAAGAAGCCGCACTTCTGCAGCTGCCACACTCCACACACCTCCTTTCCCCACACGTTTTGTAGGAAGGAAGCAAAGCCCACAGGGCAACAGTAGAAAAACCAGAAGCCACGGCGAAGGATTTTAAAGGAAACCGTTAATTTAACTCCTGCTGTGTTTTTCTGTAAAACAGATTACACGGCCATGAAGGGCGGTCCACCATTGAAAAGGTCTAAAATCAGCCGTGATAATGAAGTACCCATGAGGGTGCAGGACACAAGTGTGCAAGAAGAAGGCAGTGCATCTATGCACACATCCTCACCTCCTCTCTGCCCCAACGGTGATAGGCGCGTTTGCCTCAATGTTGGTGGGAAGTGCATCACCACATTGGCAAGTACTCTGTGCTCGGTGCCCTCCCTACTTTCTGAGTGGCTTAACAATGGTTTTGCGGGTCTGCCACGTGACCGCAGGGGTAATCCATTTATTGACCGTGATCCAGAGAACTTCAGGCTTATTGTTAATTACCTGCGCGGGTATGAGTTGCCGCTTGACACCGAGAAGATTGTCTTTTTGGCAGAGGACGCTGAGTACTACCGCATCGAGGCGCTACGTGCTCTTATTGACCCACCAGCAGAGTGGCACTTCGAGAGTGGCCCAGGAGTGTCGCCAGACAAAACACACTTCAGCACTGACAGCATCCTCGGCACATGCGGCAATGACCCTCTGCCGTCCAACGGGAAATCTGTCCTTACGCTGCACATAGACAAGTGTGAGTTGGTGACAGTGGGCCTGATCGATGCGGAATATGTGTGTGAAAACAAAGAGCTACAGTACCAGCGGAGTTCCATCGCCTACCGTAACACTGGGGAGCTGGTGTGCTCCTTTAATGATGAGCGGACATACACCATGGGGGTTGGCTTTAAGAGCCAAGACCTCGTCATGGTGCAGGTAGTGCTCACGCCGAACGCAGCAGCAAAGATTGATTTCTATTGTGGCTCTGTAAAGACACACGAGACGGAGTGGCCTGCACCAACGCCGCCGCTGCGCTTTGCAGTGAGTCTGCGTGGGACTTCAGCTGTCACAATTGAGAAGGACTCTACCACTGATGTCCGTGGTAGAGAGGGGGTTTCTCTTGGGGCGCCTCTACAAGTGTAGTGTGTTAACAATGGGTGTGCTGGGCGGTGTATCCAGTCGTAGTGCGCTCAAGTTTTTTTTGTTGTGGTTGCTGTTCTTGTTGTTGCTGCCGCTATAGTCACCCGTGTACCTGGCTCTGCTCGGGGTGATTCGTGGCAGGTGGTGACTCTTCAGATGTGTCGCGCAGAACAGAGATGCGTCGACTGTGGCAGCCGCATTGCGATTTGGAACGGAAACAGAAGAAAAAAAAAATGCAACAAAAAAGTTAAACCGAATTAGTGGCAAGTATGAGCTCTGCACAATTTCTTCTCCATCTAATGTTATCTGTGTCGTATGCATTCCTCCCCTTTCCTTTTCTGCTTTGGTTTTCCTCTGCCCCTCTCTCCTCACTGTCATCTGCTGGTGTTGATGCTGTTACGCTGTGTTTTTCGCAGTTCACATCACATTTCAGTAGCAAGGAGAGTCAGCTGAGGTGCTGCCGCCGCTAGCAAAGAAGCAAGAGAGAGAGAGAGAGAGAGAGAGAGAGAGAGAGAGAGAAGCCGGCTGCACACGTGCCGAGGGTTAGGGAGCGAGACACAAAAGCGCACATACATACATCCCGCTCCTCTACCAAAGGAAGAGCTGTTGGTGGCTTCACACGGGTAAGCTCCATCAAGCCGAGAGAAGCCAACAGGAAGGGAGTAGGGACGAAAGAGAGACATATACAGAGAGGAAGGTAGAGTGGGAGTGCGGGGGAATCTCGATAACACACACGCACACATCCACCGGGGGAGGGGGAAAAGGAGAACAAAATAAGAAATAAAAACACAGAAAGGTAAGCGAAACAAAAAAAAAAAAATAAGCCAGAGGAAGAGATACAACAAGTTATCACAAAGACAAAAACTCTTCGGCTTTTGTCATGTCTCTAGACGTGGATGCTATCATTGATAAACTGCTTGAGGTCCGCGTGTCCAAGCCGGGCAAACAAGTCAACCTAGCGGAGAATGATGTGAAGAATCTCGCAATGCGGAGTCGCGAAATTCTCCTCGCGCAGCCGGCTCTCCTCGAGCTGGAGGCCCCCATTAAGATATGCGGTGATATTCACGGGCAGTACTACGACCTCATCCGCCTCTTCGACAATGGCGGGTTTCCACCTTCCGCGAACTACCTGTTCCTCGGCGACTATGTAGACCGCGGCAAACAAGGGCTGGAGACCATTTGTCTCGTCCTCGCCTTCAAGGTAAAGTTTCCGGAGAACTTCTTCGTGCTGCGTGGCAACCACGAGTGCGCGAGCATTAACCGCATCTATGGATTCTTCGACGAGTGCAAGCGGCGCTACAACATCCGCCTCTGGAAGGTCTTCACGGACACGTTTAACTGTCTACCCGTCGCATGCATCATCGACGACAAGATTTTCTGCTGCCACGGTGGCCTCTCCCCCGAGCTGCAGACGATGGAGCAGATCAAGAAGATCGCACGACCGTGCGACGTCGCCGACACTGGCCTCATCTGTGACCTGCTGTGGTCGGATCCTGAAGAAGGTCTCTCCGGTTGGGGCGAGAACGACCGCGGCGTCTCTTTCACATTCGGTCAAGATATCGTAGAGAAGTTCCTACGGAGGCACGAGTTCGATCTCATCGTCCGGGCGCATCAAGTAGTGGAGGACGGCTATCAGTTCTTCGCGAAGCGGCAGCTTATTACAATCTTCTCGGCTCCAAACTACTGTAATGAGTTTGACAACAGCGGTGCAGTGATGTCGGTGGACGCGGACCTTCTCTGCTCCTTCCAGATCCTCAAGCCAGCGGTGAAAAAACCGAAGTTCTACCAATAGAGTGGCTGATGAAGGAAGGAAGAATAGCGCGACAGGAGGGGGGATATATATATATATATATATGTGTGTGTGTGTGTGTGGGAGATGGAGAGAGGAGGAAAGGGAGGCGTGGAAGGGGAGAAAGAGTGAGAAAGGCAGGAGTAATGGAGACAGAAACATAAGGGGGCGGGGAGGAAATGACTGATGCGAGGACAGAAGAGTGGCCCTTCCTGTATGTGAATGTGCTGGTGTGAGAGATTGACCAGGACGCCACGTCAGGGAGAAAGAGCGAGCAGTGGGAGGAGTATGCAGCAGAGAGGAAGACAGATAAATAGACTGCAGTAACTGAAGGGGCAACGCATGTGCAACAGGACGGACGCGCGCCAGCACGACGCTGCAGGTCCCGTCACGTCTGGTTGTTTCCCATGTCAGGCACGCGCTTCCCCCCCCCCCCCCCCGCAGTGCGCCCCCCCCCCCCNGTGCTGCCCACCCGCCACCACCGTGTAACGTGTGTCTGCAAGGGGCGTCAGCACGACAAGTCCTCCCTGGTGGACATTTTTCTCTTTTTTCCCCCTTTTCATTCCCTCTGCTGTTGTGTGTTTTTTTCTTTCCCATTTTTCTTTTGCCGTCATTGCGTACTTGCAAGCTGTATCCGCGTCTCAAGCCAACCTTTGTGTTGGATACCACCCGCTCACGCCTCTCGTCGCTACGCTGCTGCGTGCCGGTGGCCGCGCAGGGAAGTTAGGAGGGATGGCGTCAATAGCACGAACACCCTGAGATACTGAGCGATTGTGACTGAAAGTGAGTGAGTGAGTGGGGGAGGGAGGGAAGAAGGTGTGAAAGGATGAAATGTGTGTGTGTGTGTGGACTCGATGAAGACTCATTCATTTCAAAAGAACCGAAGGTGTTGCAGCAAGGAGGCTGAGAGAGCAAAGAATAGAAAAGAATGGGGCCTGTTCATTTCGTGCCAGAACTAACTTTTTGTTGTACGCACGCTTCATGCATACACAGGAAAATAAAAAGAAGGAATGCTTTCATCCTCAAGTGTGCAAACGAATGATAGTGGAGGCAGACAATGAGGAATGAATGTGAAGGAAAGATGCGTTTTGTGCACTGTTGCCATGTATCATTCTCTCCTGGGCGTGGGGAGGCATCTTGTCTTTCTATGTGGAGCTTCACCGGTCGTGAAGGATTCTGGGAGAGTGCGAGACGAAAAGAGGGGGGGGGGAACACCAACATAAATCCAGAGACGGGGCGAAAAACGGGGAAGAACAGATGCGCTCTTGTTCAGCACTCAGAGGGAAAATAATGAAAACAACAACAACAACGGCAAAGGGAATCGTCAACAACAGCAGAGGTATGTTTGTTTTCTCTTTTGAAGGAGAAAGGCAGTGATACCCACCAGGTAAGAGTTTTCGTTCATTTTGTTGCCTCCACTTGTGCTTGCTTGTGTTTCTTTCCTGGCCCGCTGGGCGTCTACTTCTGCCCGCGGGTTATCTTCTGCCATGTCTCTCCGCCCGTGCTTCACTGGCTCATAAACAAAACAAAACGAAAAAAAACTGTTGCCACGGGGAACCCCAGCTTTACAACAATTCATGTTTCTGTTCTTCTGATTGATGCGCGTACCTGCTTGAACTGAATAGTAACAAGGCAATTTACGAGCACTGTGCTGTGTGTTGGAGCCCCCCCCCCNCCCCCCCCTTTATATCCTTCTGATTCGCCTTCTCTCCATCTATCTACCTCTCTATTTCCCCTTCATGTTGGCGGGCTATGCGCTGCCGCCGCTGCAGTCGTACCATTTTTCCTCATGCTTTTCTGTCGCATGCGTCTCCGCTTCCACTGCTCTTTAATTTTGTAATGAACAACAATAACAACACCAAGGGTGACGACGTCGGTGGTCGTATCGATGATGGAGAACGAGGACTGCGAGTATCGCGAGGCGACGAACCTCACAGAAGCATTTTTGGACTGTGCCCGCTACAACGACCACGGGGACGCAAGGGCGCTGCTCGTGTACCTCACCGAGACTCCGTCCCTCATCGAGGCGAAAGACGAGCAGGGGCGTACGGCGGTACACGTAGCGGCGGCGAATGGCCACATCAGCGTGTTGGAGATGCTTATGGAGTTCGGCCCGACGCCGGACGTGCCGAACCACGAGGGTAACACTGCCCTCCACTTTGCTGCTCTCAACAACCAGCTGGAGGCTGCGCGGCTGCTGCTGGCGAGAGGGTGGCACACAACGGAGAGAAATGCGTTTGATAAAACCCCTATTCAACTAATTTACGGCAAAAACTTTGAAGCCATGGAGACACTGCTCCTGGAACATGACGAAGAGGTCGACAGATGTGTGCGGAGCACTGTTGGCGTTTCTGAGGATGAACAAAACACGACCGCAGCTCTGGAAGAAGCAGGAACGATAGAGGGAGGAGGAGGAGAGAGAGAAGGCACAACACCAGGGAGTGGCATACCCCACATTAGCAGCAGTGCCCAGCAGCCATTTAGTGAAAAGCAGCCTTCATGTGGAGAAGCTGCGTCAGCCCCTGGGCCGTCTAATTCACCACCACAATACGAGGATCCGACGAAGTTGTTGGGTTCCGCTGATGTGGACGGTGTCGAGTAACACGCTTTGCTCAAAAAGCGAAAGAAAATAACAATCACATCGCTTTGTGTGAGGGTGGCTCTCCACCGATGAGCATGTATGCTTCTCTATCGTTATGCATGTACGTGAACGTATGAGGATCAGTAGTAAAGGGCCTCCTTTTTCTTCTTGTTTTCTATTGATTGATTCTCTTTAGTTGCCAGAAATGACAGCGGACTTTTTTGAGAGTGTTTTCTCGTTTTCAGAGTTGCCGTACCCGCAGACGCAGGCGCGCCTCTTGGAACTGGCACACTTTGAGAGCGGCTTGAGGGGCCGTGAGCGATGCTGGTTGGCGGTTCCTGGCGTCCCCGTCAAAGAGTTAGACGCAGGATGGTTCTATACACCTTCTGTGAATGAGTTGCGACAAGAACTGTCACTAGTTCTGCAGGAGCTGGAGGAACGATGTCCTGAGTGCCTCCCTCAATTGCGATCACGTTTTTCTCGTTACATGCCTCTTTCATTGCAGCATGTGGTAGGTGACAGCGTGTCCCTGCACCAGCAGTACCCCGATGCGGTCTTTCAGGCAGCGAGTCAGTTTAATCTGCTTGAGTTTCCCTCACCACACTTCGTGCCAGAAATGGGCGTGGCACACTGTGTGCATGACAAAACGCAGGGGCCCGCCTGCGCGGTGTCGTGTGCTGTGGGGCTGGCCTATCGTTGCTACCTGATGGGCTCACGATTTGTTTGCGGAAACAGTACGGGGAACGAGAGTGGAGAAGATAGTCGTGGGCAAACAAAGGAGAGACAGGCAAATATGATGCGGGATGTAACGCGGTGCATTACAAATGGGGAGCCGTATGGCCTTCCTTCCGTCGCAGCCGACACGTATTACACCATCCGCAACGGGTACTTCTCGTCTACAGACAAGCAGATGACGGCGCTCATGCAGCGCATTGATGCGTTAGCGAAGCAGCGTGGCATGTCCACCAGTGATTTCATGAATGAGCTGAGTGGCTTAGTGCGCATAGGTGTTGTTGAGGATACGATGGTGACCCTGCCTCTCCATACACCTGGTGCTTGTGCTGGTGCTGGTGCCCCGTTGCACACCGTCACACAGACGTACAACAGTGCTCTGAGTCTATCGCCGAATCAGTCCGAGGTGTCATGGGCCGCTTTCGCCACTATGGTACTGGCAGGCTCCTACGAAGCCACATTGCTCTCTGGTGCGCTCCACGTACTGCGGTCTGTAGAGCGGCACAAAAGCATGTCGGCAATGTTGTCCGACATTCCCCCCATCTTCTTGACTAAAGTGGGTGGTGGGGTTTTTCATAATCATTCGTCGTGGATTCGCCGCGCGATTGATGTATCGTTGCAATCACTGGAACAGTATCAAGTGCCACTGAACCTGAAACTTGTCCACTTCAGGGGAATTGAAGAGGCCTATGTTTAACTGTTCAGAGCTGTTTGATTTGGGTTGTGTTTGACTGCGCTATGCATGAGGCGTGCCCCTCCCCTTTCTTGAGAGTGTTCTCTGAGGTGCTTCCACCTCTTCCTTTTCTTGCCCTGCCATCAAGCACTGATGCCATGGAGCCGAGACGCTGGCGGCCGAAGTTCTACAATCCTTTTACGGAGCGGCGGAAGCTGACGAGCTATTCGCCCGTCTATCGCGGATTTTTCCGTGTTATGCCCCTCCACCGATGGAGTCTAGACGACATTCAGGCGGTTCTTGGCTACGCTGCAGTCAAACCCTCCCTTTTTGGCTTTCCAGACCAGCCAACTTGCATTGTAAACACGGCGCATTTTCTTCCCTCCCACCGCAGCCGATCACGTGGGATCTGGGTCTTTGGGGTGGAGAGAGGATGTAAAAGCATCATTGTGCCTGCATCATGCAACACTGAACCGTTTGATGCACTGGACGCAAAGCTGATGGAGCCCCTATTCCGATGGAATCCCGGTGTTGAGTACATCTACCTTTCTCAGTTCTGCCAGCCGATGGCGTCGCACCTGGTTCCGTATCTACAACGCTGCACCCAACTGCGTATACTCACGTTGGAAGGCTGGAACGATGCGGCGGCGATTCACCGGGTGGTTATAGCATGCAAACACGTGAATGTTGTGGACGCCTTCTCTTTGGATGACCCACCACGGGAATGGAAGAATGAATTGGCTGTGCAGGCACTTAACACGTTGATTGAGATGCACCCTAAACTCATCTGTGTAAAGGCGACGCGACTCTACCTTGCGGATTGGTACGAAGCAACTCAGTATTCGCGTTGCAAGCACAACATTGCGCTTGTACCCTTCTCGTGTGACTTTGTGCTGCTGCACTACGGCTTGTTTTTGCTGCTTCTGTGTGTTCCAGCTTACTTTGCCTTCAGAGGTGTGTGGTGGCTATTACAGGACACCTGCAGCCAAGCGTATCTGTCCTTTTGGTCTGTCATTGCTACTGTTGTTGTTTTTGTCGCAGCCATTGCGCTAGATATGTCGGGATGGCGTTCACGCGGCCGGGGTTGGGTACACATGCAGAAGTATTTTATTTTAGCGAAGCGACGGTGGGATATCATGATGGGGTCGCACCACAAGTCCCTCGTCATGCTTTGACTCCCCTTAAGGGGGAACGGAGTGGGAGAGAGACGGCGCAAAGACAAAAGAAAAAAAAACGGACAGAGAGTGTCATCTTATTGGACATTTTGCTTGTATTTGGGGATATATAATAGAAGCGAAAGAAATGAATCTGCACTCAATTGTTCCTCTGTCTTGTTTTTTTTTTGTTCTTGTTGTTTGCTTTGCGTGTGTATGATATCACATCCCTGTCGCTGTTGCGCGCGTGTGTGCAGAGATGGGTGACGCAGCAATGGCAGTCAAAGGATCGATAGAATCCGAGGTGTTGCTCGACACCGGACACACGGGCCCCGTCACGGACGCCGCAGTGGACGCGGCTGGCAAGCGCGTGGCGGCGTGTGGCGAGGATGGCACCATTCGCATCTTCGCTCTGGACAGAGAGCGGACCAGCAGGTGGAGTCTGCTGGTCGTGCTGGAGGGCCACACGGGGCCCGTTGTGAGTGTGTCGTGGGCGCCGCCTCCGCTCTACTTCTCGGCACTCCTCTCATGTGGCGAGGACTGCCAGGTGGTTCTGTGGAGCGACCTTGGCCCAGCTGAGGGGTGGGCGAAGGTGTACGCCACAACACTCGCGTCGGCGCCGTGGTGTGCCGCGTGGGCGCCAGCGGAGTACGGTAAAATATTCGCCGTCGGCTGCGCGAGCGGGGCCGTCATGGTATTTGCCGGGCGCGATCAGCAGTGGAGCCACACAGAGCTCTCTGCGCACCCGAGCGCCTGCTGCTCGCTGTCGTGGGCGCCGTCCTTGCCCCCGGGCACACTGCTTACAGTGCCGTTGGAAAGCGAGCTGCGCGGAGGCTCGTCGTCGCCGCCTCCGCCAGGCGGCATGCCGCTAGCTCCGCCACGTATCGTCACCTGCGGGGGCGAACGGTGCGTGAAAGTGTGGACGCTCTGCGGTGAGGAATGGAAGCCGCAGGAACTGCCTGTTGACGTGGATGCGTCGTGGCGTGTAGTGGCGTGGTCTCCCAGCATGGGGGTGCCGTTTACATACATCGCGGCCGGCTCCGACGAGGGTTTTGTGGTGGTGTGGTCTCAGGACGGGCCGGCGCGGGGCGAGTGGAACCGTATGGTGCTGCCGCAGCAGGAGTTTGGCGTGACGAAGCTCTCCTGGTCACTCGTAGGAACGTTTTTACTGGTGTCGTGCGCGAATGGGACGGCCAACATGTGGCAGGAGTCAGCATCTTCGCGAGGGTGGGAGCGCGCCTGTGTGGTGGCTCCCCCCATGGGCTAAGTACATTTAGTTTGTAGTGAACGATCACACAACGGTCAGCTTCTGCGCATGATGTGCGTCTGTTATTATTGTTGTTGTTGTTGTGGCTGGCTCTGTTTGTGGCCGTACGAATTATCCCTGGCTGTTCTTGATGTTCTCATTGCACTGGCTACCCGAAGGGAAAAGCAAACAGGAAGACGACAAAGGCAAAAAAAAAGGTAGGTCTCACTCGGTTCTTTTTCTGTGATAAAATATATTCCCTTTTTTTTGCTAGTGTTATTGTTGTTCTTCGTCTTCTTCTCTTGCCGCCATTTGACGGAGTGCGTGCTCGTCTTTGCGTGAGTGAGTGTGTGTGTGTGTATCATTAGTGGACTGTAGAGGATGGGCGTCATCATCGGCACGGTGCTGTTCGCCGCCGCCGGTGGCCTTGGGGCGTTGAGTGCTCCACTGTGGGCGAAGAGCCAAGTGGATCTTGTCCGCATTCTCTGCTTCACTGCCGCCTTCTGCTGCTGGCTGTCGTGGGTGCTCATCTACATGGCGCAGCTTAACCCGTTGATCGTGCCGACACGCAACATCAAGAAAGAGTGAGGGCGGCCT